CTGGCGGACTTCATCGACCCGCAGGAGGGGTGGAAGAAGCTGGCGATGGATATCACCGACCCCTCCGGTGAAGGCAGATACAACCAGATGCACATCAGGTGCTGGGCAGAGGTCGCATCACCTTGTTTGCTGACCGTTTAGCGCAAATACCGTTGCCCGTCCCGTCATCCCGTCCCGTTGCCCGTCCTGTTAGTGTAACTTGGTGCGGCTTGTGTGCCAGCAGGTACTTGCGCCTCACAGTACCGTTTCCTTACGGAGCTCATGGCAGTTGCTCCTAGCTGTTCTCCAGTTTTCAGACAAGCTGTAGCCAAAGAAAATCAACTGAAGAAATTAGGATTAACCACAGCCACAGATGTATATTTTTAGTGATACCACGTTGGCTGTGTAACTCTGCACCCTAGAGACTGGTAAGCATTGACTCCGTTGTGCATCTTTGCACAAGAACAGCGCGAGAGGCAGCTGGGCTGTAACTCCTAACTCGCTGTTCCCAAGAAAATGTCCAACAAATCCGAGGTGCCCGGGGCCTAAAACTAAGAAGTTCAACTGAGAAGTAATGTCAGCAGTATTTTGTGAACACCTTGTTGCTTGAAGGGCTTGTTGAATCCTTAAGCTGTTTCAAAGGTGATGAGATTTTTAATACCTTATATATCATCTTGGGTTTACAGTCGTTTTAGTGATGTTAGCATTAAATCTTCATTTGTCTTTCTAGAATAATAGTAAGTCAGTCAGAATAATGGATCTTGATTTCTGCTTAATACCCATCTTGAAATACTGAAAGTGTGAATGCTAAATGGATGGAAAAACTTTTTTTTCCACATCTGATCTGGCTTTCACTTGCCTTCTTGTCTCTCGCTGGCATTCTCTGCTCTGTTGGTCCCATGTGCTGATGTATAATGGTTTCTGGGCAAAATGTTGAAGCCATCTATTCGTATTTTTCCCTGAGTTTTTTTCCTATATTTCCCATACTTTCCCCTGAATTTGAATTTCTTTAGGGCTTTTTAGCTGCATTTTCAGAAGATTTGCAATTAATTGTACAGTAACAGTTCAGTACTTTTTTTTTTTTAGCGTCTTTTTGTTTACCTTTAATCTCTTCCTCTTCTGCGTGGTTCTCAAGATCACTTCTTTTAATGTTGGTCTTAATTTATCTTTTAAGGAGGTTTGAAGCATTTGTACAAATGGGAAGGAGCCCCACGTGTGAATTGCTTTATGACTGGGGAACATCAAACTGCACTGTTGGTGATCTTGTGGATCTGCTGATTAGGAATCAATTCCTAGCACCAGCAAGCCTTTTGCTTCCAGGTAGCTGTTACTGTTCTACATTTTCTACTGTGTTCTCAGTATTCTAAGATGCTAAAGAGCTTCACAGTAATTTGAAAATCAGAAAAGATTAGGTCAAAACAAGTAAAAGTGGATGTATTTTCCATTATTTGTAATAACAGTTTTAGAGAAACTGTTAAGTATGGTTGAAGTTTAAATAAGAGTCCTACAGTTTACACATGGTGGCAGAGTGTAATCTTCTCATGATGTTTACGTGTCTCCTAATCTTAGTAAATACTGGCTTAATGTTATTTGTTTTTTCTTGTTCCTAATACGGTTAACACTTTTTTCTAAATTCCATTTTCAGAAGCTGTAAGGATGGCACAAGAAGTTACATTACCTCTTTCTTCACAGGAAACCTTGCCCATACATCAGAAACAACTGCCTATACAGGAAAAAGAAGTGGCATCTGCAAAGCCTGTTTTACCTCAGAGCACTGAGAAGCAACATTCCGCTCCTTCCTACTTAAGTCAAGAAAATAGCAGCTCACAGTCTGGCAACACAGGTAAGGACTTAATCTGGTAGATTTAAGTACAGTATTTTTTGCTGATCTGTCCTTCACCCCATGTGAAATAAACGATAGGAATGCATTAGAGTAATGACTGTATTATCGTGCGTCCATAGGAAACGGCATCTTGCTTTTGCTCTTCTTCTGTGTGACTGTGAAGTTAGCCTGGGTAACAAGATGTCTAAATATGAGTTGTACCTTGCCACGAAGGCAGCTACTGTTGTGGAAAACTTGACTTTTAGTTAAATTGCAATTTATTTTGTGCTACACGTAATCCTGTTGCCCTTTTTAGATACTGAATTTGTAGCCTGTTTAGCATCTTTTGTTTTAAAGCTGGATTTTACGTATCAGAAATTACTAAGAATGTTGGAGAAAAGATAATTAGAGAAAGCGTTATAGGAAAGTGTATGGTTGGTCTGTTCCTTCCTAAAGTTCCACTTTTGGGTTGCTGCCAGAAACAAATTGTTATTTTTACATCTGACACAGCGTGGCGCTCTCTGTGACTGCTTCACGTTTACTTCTATTACCTGTATTACAATTATTAACAAAAAAATACAATCAGAAGGCTGCTACAGTGCTAGTTGTGAATAAAGTTATGTGTAGCTTATTATATTATTAATCTGCATTTCATTTTTTTCTGGTATCTTCGTCACGGTGCTGGAAGTAGGGCTCCACTATGTCAGGATTTGCATGGTAGCGAGTTTTTGGTTTAATAGAGCTGAAGCAGAGAACCTGTTCAATGCACTTGTTCTTAAGTGAAAACATACTTGTGCTAAATGGAAAATGTGTCTTTCAGATTTCCATAATTTTTGGTTTCATGACTTGGAAAGTGTTACAAATAATTTTGATGCACGACCAGAATCAGTTGGAGGTAATAAACTGGGAGAAGGTGGCTTTGGCGTTGTGTTCAAAGGCTACATCAACGGCAGAAATGTGGCTATTAAGAAGCTCGTTGCTGTGAGTTTTTCTGGGCATTTTTGTTTTTAATGACTGTGTACTCTATAGTACAGACTTGTGGAAGTTGTTGAATGATACACTTCAAAAAGTGTCACAGTGTTAAACATTGGTTGGGTTGAGAACCTTCTCCTGTAGTCCCCCTGAGTGGTGCGAGTCGGCACCGTCACCAGAGTTGAAGTCTTGCCCTTTCTGTAGCTTTCTGTGGAGCGGCGCAGGCAAGTTGTCTGGAGGAGCAGAGTGCTCCCCCAGTGCCCCTCCCTCCCCTGCGCACAACAAGTGGTAGAAGTGAAGGGGTGCTAGGGAGGTTTCCCTTTCAGGATCAGATGAATGATTCACAGCTAAATAGGTACCCACAGAATTCTAGTTTTCATAACCGATGGTTTGTGTGAATAATGAATTTTGTAATGAATAAGTGCTCTTAGTCGGTAACTGCAATGAAATAAAACGGACAAGTTGGTGACTGTGCTGAAACCAGATCCATTTGTCTAATAATACTGTGTTCCAAGGAATTAAAAATCATATTCTGATACTTTGTTTCTGAGTTAAGTAAAAGAAATATCGTAAACAGTGAAGTAGTTGTTATGTGTAACAAATCCAAAGAAAGGCTTACAATTCTGTCTTTTTTTAATGACCAACTGTGCGTTTGAATATGGCCAGCAATTTTAATGTCAAATGCTTCCTTTTGTAGATGGTTGATGTTAGTGTTCAGGAGTTGAAACAGCAATTTGATCAAGAAATAAAAACGATGGCAAAGTGAGTACAGTGTTATATAATGTCATTATAGCCTTTTATGAGAATCTAAGTTGGCAGATAACACGTTAGCTAGTGTGATCCCTTATTTTTGTCTTTCTAGCATAACTTAACGATTTTCACGTTAGGTGAGAATGTTTCATATACAACATGACAGTATTTTGTTTTGTTTTAAAGCACCACTGCAGAAACCTGGCTGTGTGCAGTAGGGCTGGAACAAGTAATTGGGGATCAAGTTCCCTGTGCCTTGTATTTCCTCCAACGTTGGGAATCTTTCAAAGCTTATATGAATAGATTTTTATTTTTTTTTCTTTTTTGCTGTAGGTGTCAGCATGAGAATCTAGTAGAATTGCTTGGTTTCTCAAGTGATGGTGCTCAGCCCTGTCTGGTGTATGAATACATGCCCAATGGTTCATTGCTTGACAGGCTTGCTTGTCTGGTAAGTAAAATCTATTCTAGTTTCCCGTTGTCTTACTTTGCTGAAGTATAGATATCCATGAAAGAACTTTGAAACAGTACTGAACTGTAATGGCCAAATGAC